ACCTACGGGAGGTGATGAGATTGCCGAGTGAGCCTAAGACTAGAAGAGGACTTGAGACAGAGCCTTAGAAGGTTTGTGGGAATTATCTGAAGGAGACCGAGAAAGAAACGTCCCACTGGCAGAAGAGTGTCACGAAACCTAGAGGGGAGAAAACATCCTGGAGATGAGGCTGGTCAACAGTATCAAAGACTGCGGAAAGGTCAGGATGAAAACCCAGAAAAGACCATTAGATGGGGCAGGTAAGGGGGCATTGGTAGCTTCGGAGAAGACAGTTTTAATGGAATGATGAGGTTGGAAGACAAGGAGCACAGAGGGTTGAGAAGAGTGGAGACACCAAATGTAGATGTTTTATCAAGGAGATTAGCTCAGAAGAAGAGGAGAGGTATAGGGCAAGAGCAGAGAAGGTAGGATCTGCTGTCGTTGTTTAGTCATTTTTCAGTCATGTCTGACTCTTCGTGAACCCATATGGGGTTTTATTGGCAAAGTTACTGGGGCAGTTTGCCATTTGCTTCTCTAACTTATTTTACACATGAGTAAACTGAGGTAAACAGAGGTAAGTGACTTGCCCAGGTAAGTGTTGGCTGAGGCTAGATGTGAACTCAGGTCTTCCTGACTCCAGGCTATTCGCTTTACCACCTACCTGCCCAGGTAGGATGTAGGGAGAGTTTTTAAGGATGGGGGAGCAAACAGGGAGAGATTGAAAATAAGATAGAGAGTAGAGATGACAGTGAGAGCAGTCCTCTGGAGAGGATAGGGTGGGATGGGATCATTTGTGCTCGAAGAAGGGTTGGCCTTGACAAAGAGAAGGGCCATTTCTTCAGAATGAAGGAGGAAATAGCAAGGGAAGACAACTGAGTGATGAGCTGAGCAGAACAGGAGGAGAAGCTCTCTGTCAATGGCCTCCATTTTGTTCAGTGAAATATGAAGCAATTGAGAGCATCTGAAAGCAGAGAGGGGGGTGTCATGGGAGAGGAGACATGAGGATGTGGAGGAGCCACTGGAGACAGTCTGCTAGCTAATTCATTTGGGAGGAGTTGAAGGATTGCCTTCTGGCAGGGAGAGCCCAGTTGAGATGAGGGAACATTAATTTGTGGTGGATTCAGTATAATTTTGCAATTTTCTCCTGTTCTGTTGAGCAGCACATGAAGAGGAATGAAAGAGGATGACAAGGGCAGTAACCCAGGGCTGAGGTTTGGCCAGGCCTTCTTGGTGCTGAGACAAGGAAGAGTTGAACTGGACCACCAGAGGTTTAGGGGAGGAAAGGGAGAAGAGTGTAGCTAGTGTGAATTTAGGGAATAGGGCCCAGGAAAGGATTCAGGGGTGAAGGCAATGGAGGTCATGGTATGGCTAAAGAACAGCGATGGGGGGTAGGGTATAAGGGAGAGGGAAAGGTGGAATCAGATAAAGGGATTTCAGAGTTCATAAACATGGAAATGGAAGAGTGGTGGGTGACCAGATCAAGGGTATAACCACCTCTGCATAAGGTCAAAGTGCAGCAAAGTACTACTGGTCATGAGAAATGGGTGGATTGAGGAACTGGGGAGTTAGGCCATTTGAGGCAATGCCAATATGTATGCTGCTGTCCCCTGGTATCAGGGCAGAAATTGGGGAGGAGAGAAAGACTGGGAGTCCTGGCACTGAACTCAAGGAAAGCAGGACGGTGTCTTGGTGGCTGGTAAGTAACAGCCGTGGGGATCTGGACTGGGTGCTAGAACCTCAGAGGAGAACAAGGGACTGAACAATAGTGGGAGAGGAAGTCTTTGGGGACGCCTCACTGACCCTGTCCTCCCCTTGACGGATGGTCAGGATAGGACTGAGGGACTCTCCCATCAGCCGTCCCGAAAGCCACGGCCTTCTTCCATCTCTGACTCTCCTCTTGGGTGTCCTGAGCTGCTAGGAGTTACCGAGAAGGGGGAGGTACAGGTTAAGAGTTGGGAGGGGAGAGACGTGATGTCACTTCCCAAGTCCCAGATACCCGCCCCTGGAAGCTAGAAGGAGACTCCTAAAGCACCAGTCTGATCAGGTCACTCTTGTGCTCCAAAAGCTCCTGTGGCTCCCTATTCCCTCCAGGGTAAAAGACAAACCCTCCACGTGGCATTAAAGTCCTTCACGACTTGGTCCAAGTGTCTCTGTGGCTACTCATGTCTGCGACGTGGAACTCAGGCCAGTTGCCACCTCCTACAAGAAACCTGGCCTGATTCCCCATTAGTGCTCCCTGCACTCTCAATTACTTTGCATTGAACTTCAAGTTTTACTTCTAAATGGCCACGTTGGATCCTCCTGGTAAGCTCCTTGACAGCCATGAAGAGTGCTGGATTTGGAGTCAGAAGGCTCAGGTTCTAATCCTGCCTCTGACCTTATTATCTGTGTGACCTTGAGCAAGTCACTTGACTTGGGTCTTGGTTGGCTTATCTGTACAATGATGGAGTTGGATTAGATGGCTCCCAAGGTCCTCATTTTTGCCTGTGTGTCCCCAGCTCCCAGAACAGAGCCTGGGGCAGGGGAAGCCTTGTTGAGTTGAACTGAACTGAATTGACTTGCTGGGGACTTGCCCTCTCTTCCCTTTCCCAGTGGGGTCTAACTGAAGGGATAGGGATGGCATGAGGATCTAAAGCCTGAAGGGAGGAAGCACTGCCTTGAGTCAGAGAACCTGGATTCCGATCCCACAGGTGACGCATATTAATTGTATGAGTTGGACTGAATCCTCCTGGGCCTCAGTTTCCTCACCTATAAATGAGGGGTGTAGGCCAGATGGCCTCTGGGCTCCTGTCCAGCTCTCCAATGTGAGCCTACGATACTCCGAAGGACTGGTCCAATGAGCTCCAAGCCATGAGATTGGCGGTTTGCTGTGTAAGGGAGGAATGGCACCATTGGGTGAGCCAGGCCTGCCCTCACCTCCTCTGCTGCCACCTCAGCCAACAGGTACTGCAGCCTGGACGGTTCTGGGGGAGGGGGAATACAGAGGCTGGGAGGGGGGTGACAGGGAGAAGCCAGTTCCCTCTGAACAGCCAAGAAGGCAGGCCCAGAGTTAAAACCCACAGCAGGAGGAGAGGAGAGATGCCAGGAGAGCCAGAAAAAAAATGGCATGAGAGATGAGGAAGGCAGCTGGGCAAGTTAAAATATGCAGATGGAGAGATGTGAGACGTGCCGAGAAGAGAAGCAAGACCCAGCTCCTGGGCCTGAGGAGCTGCCTCAGAAACCTGCCTGGAGACACAGAGAATGAAGGGCTGGCCTCCTCCACCACCCAGGGACCCCTACTTCGGCCTGCATCTAAGCAGGAGCATGGAGGAAATCTAGGTGGGAAGGTGAGCACCTCGTCCTGTGTGTCTGCATGGACACAAATAACTTTGGTAACTGCCCAGGTCTGAGGGACCAGGGGGCTGGGACAAGCAGCCCTGCAGGGAAGGCCCGTCCTGCCCTAGCATAGGCCTCCTGGGTGCGGGGCCCATCCCCAGAGGCCTAGGGTAGAACACTGACTTGGGGGACTGGGGACTTGGGTTCCAATCTCAGCCCCAAATCTTACTACCTATATAATTTTGGACAAGTTACTTCACCACTAGATTTGTGACCCTATGACCTTTTGTTCTTTCACCTGACCCTTGACCTATAACCAAGTGACTGACCTTCTGAAAGTCTAATGGACTTGGGATAATCCAACAGAGTCCTGAAAGAGTCCTTTGTTTTAAGAGGAGGAAACTGAGACCCAGAGAGAAATACTTGCCCTGGGGCATCTGTAGCATACCTGGGCTTTGGATTCTAGATAAAATTTTCTTTATATCCCACTGAACTGCTCAGAGGAAGCTAGGGGGACCAGTGGGTAGACTGCTAGACCTAGAGTCAGGGAGACCTGAGTTCAAATCCAGCTGTAGACTCTTATAGCTGTGTGAGCCTCATTTCTCTGTATTGCTGCTCTGCTTTGGAACTTTTCTGACTGATTTCCCATCATGCCTCCATGTCAGGTACCTCACCCTGTCTCCCCCCTCCCCACTTTTCAGCTTCCTTCCCCCATTAGATTGTAAGCTCCCTGAGAGCAGGGACTGGCTTTCTTTTTTCATATTTGTATATCCAGTGCTTAGCATGGTGCCTGGCTGTGCTTAATAAGTACACCTGCCACACCTCAGACCAGGGGGTAAGGATTTCCTTATACACAGATCATGTCTGCAGGGGCCTCCAGCCCCTCTCCCCTCTGATCCATCTTGCACACCATCTCCAGGTCAGTCTCCCCAAAGTAATGCTTTCATCAGGTCACCCAGAATCCTCCCTCCTTCCTAAGAATCTATACAGGGATTCCCTCTGGCTCACACAATTCATATAAATGATTTTTAGTCTGGCCTTCAAGGCTTCACTCTCCAATCTTATTCCCCAACACCTGCCCTCTCTCCTTCTATTGAGTTGACCTTGATGACTTGTCTCCAAAATCCACTGAGTTCATCCCAGTTCTACACTTAGGTTCACCTCTTTCTCCTCTCCCCCCAGTAGAATGTAAGCTCTTTGAGGGCAAGAATTGGTTTTGCTCTGTCCCTAATCCCCAGTGCCCGGTATTAATAAATGCTTGTTGACATAGCAGGCACTTTTTGTCATGTTTGCGGGATTTAAATGAGTCGTGGTAGTCTGTAACAAGCATTGATGAAACACTTGCTCCATGCCTGGAAACCAAAAAACAGGCCCTGCCCCCAAGGAAGGAGCTCCCAGGGCCAACCCCCATCTTCCTTTCCTTTCTTTTTTTGGTTTTTGCCTCTGATTTAATTAGTTTAAGGAACTCCCAGTGAGGTACCTTCCTCTACTATTGTAGGTCAGCATCTTTTCTGCAATTTTAGTTGTTAATGAGTTGCCTGAGAGATCAAGAATTTGACTTGCCCAGGGTCACACAGATGGCAGAAGTGGGCCTTGAAATGATTCAGAGTCAGCTCTCTGCCCACCAGACCACGCTGGCCCTTCCTTTCTTCCTGCCTTTATTCGGGGCACTGCTGCCCTGACCCCCTCCCGCCCTCCAGACTTACTTTTCCAGCACAGACATGATGATTGGGGGTAGAACCAGGATGGGCATGGGAAGGACCACTCGAGTCAGGGCCGTCTCGATCAGTGCCTGGGGAGCCAAGCAAAAGGGTTAGGTGAGGTTGTCTGTCTGGGCTGGGGTCCCAGAGTAACCTTTCCACACCAAATCTCCCTTTCCTCATCATCCCTACAAAATCATGCTAATTTGGATCTGCTTAGGGCAGCTGGTGATCTAGAACAGGGGTGGAGAACCTGTGGACTCAAGGCCACATGTGGCCTTCTAGGTCTTTGGGTGTGGCCTTTTGACTCAGGCCAGGTTTTACAGAAGGGGATTTGTTCTGTGAAGTTGGGATTCAGTCAAAGGGCCATACTTGAGGACCTAAAGGGCCACATGTGGCCTCCAGGCTGCAGTTCCCCACTCCTGGTCTAGAGAATCACCATCTGAACAAGGTACATTCATTTCTGGGCCTCAGTTTTCTCATCTGCAAAATGGGGATAACCTTTAAACTGCCTATATCACAGGGTGTCTGTAGGGAAAGCCCCTTGTAAAATGTAACGTCTATGTCATAATTAGGAATTATTATCATGGGGGAAAGGTTGTGGTAGAGGTGGGAGTTGGGGAGATTGTCTGAAGTAGTTATGTAGAGGAAATACTTTCAATGCCTTTTAAATTTTGGTGCTCTGGAACAAAGTTCCAGTTACCTTGCCCTAGTTATGGTTCTGTTTCAAATGAAGTAAAGATGGGAGTTCCTGCCATTTGTTGTGGTGTGTGTGTGTGTGTGTGTGTGTGTGTGCATGCGCGCACGTGTGTGTAGATCTGACTTCAACGCAATCCAAGTCAAGTCAACAAGCATTTATTAAGTGCCTACTATATGCCAGGCACTGTGCTAAGCATTGGGGTTACAAAGAAAGGCAAAAAATATTCCTTAAACCCAACAGTTCTTGCCTTCAAGGAGCTCAGTCTAATGGGGGAGAGAACATGCAAGCAGCTATGTATGTACAAACAAAATATATACAGGATAAATTGGAGATAATCTTGGAGGAAAGGCACTCGAGGCTATGTTAACATTATGCATAGAATCCATTAGAAAGTGGTTCTTTTGAAAAAAAAAAAAACCTTCCCCACCCCCAACACACACACACACACTCTTACTGTACACGTTTTTTAAAGAGCAGATTCAAATCAGCTGGAACAATGCTTTGGAATGGAAATGCATTAGTACCAGACACCCAAATTCCTCGACTGCAGACTCCCGCCAGGGACGTTTAGCAAGTGTGGAAGCCAGTGTAGATACCTTAATTAACCCTTCTGAGCCAGCTCTGGGAGTTTGAGGGTATGTGTATATGTGTGTGCATGCCGGGGGTGGGGGGTCTGGAATGGCCCCCTCCTTCTCCCCATGACAAGCTGCCTGAGATCCAGAGAAAGAGTGAGGACAGAGACCGAGGAGACAAGGACGCTGCTGTCACACCGCCAGGGGGTGGAGGGAGGGGGGAAATGAGCATATGGCAGAGTTTAGATGCTTAAAAGAAAAAAAAAAAGAAAGAAGCAAAAAGCAGGTGTTGGAAGGAACAGAGAAAAAAAAACAGCTGGGGCTTGCTTGGCAAGGTGAGGGTGGTGGAGTGACTTGGAGAGAGGAGACAAAAACAAAGTCTCCCGCTGGCCTCCTGGGGATCTCCATGGGTTAGGTCAAGGTCCCTTTTGGAAGTGGGAGCATTTGACTTTTTAATGATGGTGCCAGGTATTTGGAACTGTAGGACAACAAACGCCCCCACAATGCAGCAGTGATTTCCCTGGCGGAGCCTTGCTTTGGAGGACCTGAGCTCCCACTCTGACCTGTCGCTCTGGGTCCTGGCTTTTGGGTGGAATCTATCACTTGCATTCTTCAGCAACTCCAGCTAAACCCTGCTCCGCATCCTCAGGTAGGCTAATTGGTTTCACCCCAGCCTAGCTTCCACAGAAGCTCACAGGGCCCTTCTGGTGAGTTCTGGGCCACAGAGAGCGCACAGAAGGACACTTGACACCAAATCATTTTGTTCCACACTCTAGATACTTAGGGAGGTCATGTGTTCTTTGGGATCACCCCCATGCTTGCTTTGTCCAAGTAGCTACAAAAAGGACACAAGAAAGCAACTGTTGTTGAGAATATCTCATAGTTTAGTGACCAGACCATGCTCTGGAGTCAAGGGTTCGGGGTTCAAATCCCAACTACCTATGTGATTGGGCAAGTCCCTTTATTGCCCTGGGCCTCAGTTTCTTCATCAGTAAAATGAGGGAGTTTATAGGATCAGAGATGGGAGAGACCCTAGAAGTCACTGAGTCACTTTACAGATGAGGAAATGAAGACACACAGGGTAAGTGACTTGCTCAAGTTCACACAACTAGTAAGTGTCTGAGATGGAAAAAATAAAATTTTTTTCCCTATTAAGCAGGGGGGAAAGGTATCTGAGATGGGATCTGAACCCAGATCTTTCTGACTCCAAGTCCAGTGACCTAGCCACTATACCATACTGCCTCTAGTAGAACAAGATGGCTGTGAGAGGCCCTCTAGTTCTTATTCCTTCAGTATCATTATACACCCTTTTGTGTAGGCACACAAAGTGGAAGGCAGTGATCTCCTAATGGTCAAACCCAATGGCTTTTTCTCAGTTGACATAGTTAACCTCCCCCTCCCATCTTCTCTTTTGGTTGAAATGACCCTGCTGTTCTGGTGCTCTTCCTGTTTGTACGACCCATTCAGTTCCTTTGGCTGGACCATTATCCATGCCCCGCCCTCCCAGTGTGGATGTCCCCTATGACTCCATCCTTTTACTTTTAAGATAGAATATAAACCCCTCCATTTGGCCTTTCAAGCCCTTCCCCAACTGGCCCCACTATGTTTTGCCAACTTCCTCTTCCCAGTGCAGCCAAAGTGGCCTTATCTCTGTACCACACATATGGTACTCCATTTCCTGTCTCCATGTCTTTGTAGAGGCTGTATCCCATGCCTGGAACATGCTCCTTCCTCACCCCTGCCTCAGAGAATCCCTCACTTCCTTCAAGGACCAGCTCCATCCCTATCTTCTCCCTAAAGCCTTTCCTGATCTCCCCCACCCCCAACCTGCTAGCGCCCTCTCTTCCCTGACTACTTGGTACTCAGCTACCTTTATCTATTTTGAATTTATGTTGTTTTTACTGATATATGTCCACGTCTTCCCGTAAGAATGGAAACTTCCTGAAGGCAAGCAGGCAAGTACTGTTTTATTTTTGCCATTGCATCCCCAGCACTTAGCACAACGCCTGGCACATAATGGCACTTAATAAATGCTTGTTGATGAGTGGATTGTCCTGGGCCCTCTTCTGCCCCTTATTGTTTCTCAACAGTTCCCATGAATTCAATAATCACCTCTGTGCAATGGACTCACAAATCTTTTATCTCCAACCTGAAATTCTCTCCTAAGTGGGTCCAGTGCCACATCCTCATCTGCTGGGCATCTCCACTTGACTATCCCATTGGCATAGCAAACACCTGTCCAAAGTAGAGTTCCTTCTTCCTCCTCATCTGCCATTCTGCTATTGGGGGCACCAACATCCTCCCAGGCATCCAGGCTCATGGCCTCAATGGCACACTTAACTCTTTCCTCACCTTCCCCACTCACATCTAATCAGCTGCAAACCTTGTCAGTCCTACTTCCCACCATATCTCTTGACTCCATATCCTTCTTTCAATTCACATGAATATTACCCTAATCCAGACTGGGACTATTGTAGTTTCCTCCCAATTGGTTTTCCTACTTCTAATCTCTCTCTACTCCAATCCAATCTCTACATGAATGTCAAAATCCCTTTCTAAGACAAATTTGGTCCTGTTACTATCTCCTCCTAGCTCCCTATTGCCTCCAGGATAAAACACAACTTCTTCTTACAAGCATTTAAGGCCCCTCACAATGGGTTCTAACTTACCTTTGCAGCCCTCATCCTCTTCCTGTGCTGGGTGCTCCAGACACATTGGGCTACCTGCTATTCAGTGAACTCAACATTCCATCTGCCTTCCAACAAACCATCCTCCATGCCTGGAATGCCCTGCCTCCCCCACTCCTTCAAGTGCCTCTAGTCCTTCCCATCAATGCCTCTGGGGTAAATGGCCTCTGAGACCCCTTCTGGCTCCTATCTATGAGGTCTCCCCAGGCCTCCCAGCCTCCCAAGCCTTCACTTCTCAGGAAACTTTCCTTCTCAGTATGTATATCTATGTAACTATTCATTTACATGTTGTCTCCCCAGTGAGTATGTCAGCTCCTTGAAGACAGAGACTGTTTTGTGTTTATCCTTTCTCCGTATTCCCAGCAATTAGCACAGTACCTGGCACATTCTAAGCACTTAATAAATGCTTGCTGCAATTTCTGCCTAGGTTAACCTACTTATTAGGGAAGTTATATAAGCTATACCAACCAAACTACCAAAGAATTATTTTATAGAGCTAGAAAAAATAATGAAATTCATCTGGAAGAACAAAAGGTCCAGAATATCAAGGAAACTGATGAAGAGAAATGCAAGGGAAGATGGCCTAGCTGATCCAGATCTTAAATTGTATTATAAAGCAGCAATCATCAAAACTACTTGGTACTGGCTAAGAAATAGAGTGGTGGATCATTGGAATAAGTTAGGTACACAAGACCCAATACACAATAAAATAGTAAATGACAGCAGTAATCTAGTGTTTGATAAACCCAAAGAGCCCAGCTTTTGGGACAAGAACTCATCATTTGACAAAAATTGCTGAGACAACTGGAAAGAGGTTTGGCAGAAACTAGGCATAGACCAACATCTCACACCATATACCAAGATAAGGTCAAAATGGATAAATGATTTAGATATAAAGGGTGATATCACAAGTAAACTAGGGGAGCATGGAAAAATTTGCCTATCAGGTCTATCGATAGGGCAAAATTTATTACCAAACAACAGATAGAGAGGGTCATGGGAAGTAAAGTAGATAATTTTGATCACATGAAATTAAAAAGCTTTTGCACAAACAAAACTAATGCAGCCAAAATTGGAAGGAGAACAGGAATGTTGGAAGAAAAAACTTTTACAGCAAGTTTCTCTTCTACAAGCCTCACTTCTCAAATATATAGAGAATTGAGCCTAATTTATAAAAAATAAGAGCCGTTTCCCAGTTAATAAATGGCCAAAGGATATGAACAGTTTTCAGAAGGAGAAATCAAAGCTATCAATAGCCACATGAAAAAATTCTCTAAATTACTACTGATTAGAGTAATGAACATTAAATCAACTCTTAGCTATCACCTTATACCTATCACATTGGCTAATATGACAGAAAAGGAAAATAAAAAATGCTGGAGGGGGATGTGGAAAAATAAAGACACTAATGCACTGTTGGTGGAATTGTGAACTGATTTAACCATTCTGGAGAACAATTTAGAACTTTGCCCAAAGGGCTATAAAACTGAGCATGCCCTTTGGCCCAGCAATGAACCACTACTGGTTCATACCCCAAAGAGATCAAAGAAAAGGGAAAAGGACTGATCTATATTCATTTTGAGAAGGAGTTTTTTGGTTTCACTCTACACTGCCAAATGTGGCTGTGACATGAAGGAGGTTAAGAATCTAGAGGATTGGGCATGGTACAGTGAGGAAAGGGCAGGGTCATAGGAGCATAGATTTAGACATGAAAGGGACCTTTGAGGTCACTTAATCCAATGCTTTCATTTTACAATTGAGGAAATAGAGGCCCAGAATGGCCAAGTGACTGCCACCAAGCAGTAGCGGAGCCAAGATTCGAACCCAGAGCCTTGGACTCCAGATTTCAACTGTACTGTGGGCCAGTACATGGGGGTAGGGAGCAGGCATCAGAGTAAGTAGCAGCCAAGCTGAGGCATATGGCCTTCCTTTACCTCCCAGTTTTGTCAAGGGTTAGTTGTCAAGGGTTAGATGATCTAGAGAGTGGCCTGGGGTGAACAGAGAATAGGTGTGGGCAGAAGGACCTGAAGAAAGAAGAATGAGAGAGTTTTAATCACTGGCAGGACTGCCATGCATGAAGAGATAAGGGATAAAGCTCATTCCAAGAGAACTGGGGCCCTTGGAGGGCTGGGGTTTTTTGATTTTGTCTTTATACTCTCAGGATCAGCAAGTTAGATGCCTAAAAACTCTTTGTCTAACTGAATTAAGAATGAAAGACAGCAGTGGTAGGAGAAAGAGAAATGTTTGATAATTGAAAAACAAGGAAAGAGGCGGGGGTCCAAAGCTCCTTCTCCCTCACGCCTGGATCTCAAGCAAGACAAAGCAACGTGAAGCAAAACAAGACAAGGCTTCTTAGCACGATTTTCAGCTCTTGTTTTCACCACTTCTCTTGCCGGGTGGGCAGTGCCCTGAGTGCCCAGAATCCTTCACTCCTTTTACAATGTCCTATGCTCTGCCATCTCCTTTTAAAACGTGCCTGCTCTCAGGATCCCAGGAAAAGGTCCCCGTTAGAGGCCCAACAGATCATTGAATCCAACTCCCCCATTTTACAGAGAAACCAAGGGAAGCCCAAAGGGAAATGACTTGCTCAAGGTCACCTGGGAAATAAGTGGAAGAATCATAACTCAGGCCTAGGGACCCAGTTCCAGCCCAATGCCTTCCCCTTTCCCTTTACATGTCTTGCATGTGCCTAGATATTTCTATGTTGTCTCACCCGTTAGAATGTAAGCTTCTGGAGGGCAGGGACTAATTTTTGCTTTTTCAGGACTGTTAACCCAGGGCCTGGCACACTTAATAAATGACTGCTGACTGATTAAAAAAAAAAAGACAAATAACAGCGATCAGAGGCTGGCTCCCTGCCCATTGCCCACCCCTGGCCCCAGGGCCCCAACTCACATGTCTGGCTGCAATTCTTGAGGAGCCCACGACGTTGCCATCACTGTCCAGGACATCAATTCCTTCCTCCAATTCATTGTGCCTCATCAGGACCACGTTGCAGATATTGGCACTTGCTGGGTAGGGGAAAGCAGAGAAGAGAAGTCGTTAGGTGAGAAGAAAGGGTGAGTAAAAGAGGACATGATAACCAGCAGTCAGGCCCATCGCAACCCTACCTACAATCCTCTCCAAGACGTACAGACCTTTGGGGAATTGGGGAGATTAATTCCCCTGCTTGGTATTTAAAGCTTTCCACAAACAGGTTCTTAGCCTGTTTATTATTATTATTATTGTTAGCCAGGCTTATCTAGTCTACATTATACCCCATCATGCACTCTGAATTTCATCCAAACCAGACTGCTTGTTGTTACTCAAACTTGAAATGTCATTTCTTGCCTCTATACCTTGGCTTAGGCTGTCCCCCATACCTAGAATGCCCTCCCTCCTCATCTCTGCCCTTTAGAATCCCTAGCTTTCCTCAAGGAACAACTCAGTCTGTCTCTGCCACAGGTTAATGTGGCTCCTTCCCTCTTCAAATTATCAGAGGAGTGTCCTACCTGTCCCCAAAACCAACCCAAGCTCTGGTCCGCACATGTCTGCCGATAACTTAAATTAACACCTGAGCCCAGGTTCTAAGGCAGTGCTTAGGGGGACAGGGAGGGAGGCATTCATAGCTGTTGGCATATTGTCTCTTCCATCAGACTACGACTCCTTGAGAGCAGGGACTGTGTTTTGCTTTTCTTTGAATCTGCAGCACTTAGCACAGGGCCTGGTACATAGTAGGGGCTTAATAAATGTTGACTGCAGAGTTTTGTTCCCTTTGAGCAAGGGAGATAAATGCATTATCCTGTTGAGAGAAGGGACAGCAAGTTTGAGGGTTGCACACCAGCTACCACCAGGATTTTCCCTGGACATAGACAGAGTAGGAAGCCACCTTCCCAGTGTGAGTTCAGGGGCTCCAGGAAGGAAGGCTTCCTTTCTGCACTCATTGTAATTCCCCTATCAGCAGCTCCTCACCTGGGTCCCACACGGTTCTTTCCAGGGGCTTCTTTTGAATACACACTCCCCATCCCCCTCTTCCCCCCAGGTACAAATGCAACCCTCAGTGAGTGCAAATGAGTCAATTGACCATGAACATTTAGAAAGTATTTTGAAATTTGCAAACATTTTGCACATAGACTTTCATTTGATATTCCTTACCTATAGTTGTTGTTATGACAATAATAATTATTATTAATCAAAGAATTCTACCTTAGACTAGGTGGGGACCTTGGAGGTCATCCAGGGCAAATTCCTCATTTTATAGGTAATGAGTTACTTTCCCAAGAGAGAAGAAATCACTTGCCCAGGGTCATACATGTGAGGAAGTAGCAAAAGCCAGGTTTGGGGCCTCCAAATCCACCCTACTTTCCTCTGTGACAGGACAACAGCATACAGGCATGAGACCTCTGGGTTCTAGGTTGAGAGGAAGGCACAGAGGAAGTAAGGGTGCTGCTGGGGACAGAATCGGCTGGTGTCATAACATTGCTGCTCTCTGGTCCTGATCTCCATCACTGGTGATCGATTGATTAACAAGCATTGATTAAGTACCTACTAGGTGCCACCAGGTGCTGGGATCTGCTCCCCAGCGTAGCCCTAGAACATAGAGGGGTCTAAGCAGCTGAGACCCCTGGTGCCCAATCCCTTAATTAGGTATCTTTGCTTCTGGAAATGGGGGGTTGGGATGTGGAAAGGGAGGGGGGAGGGGCTAGGCGGACTGAGAGGCTTCCTAGATTGTCAGCTGTGAAACGTCCTGAAAGGACCACCATCTGCTTCATGGGGCAGTGTCTGCCCCACCTGGGCAGAGCAGGCCTCATCTGGAGAGCTACCCAGACTAGCTGGGCTGCTGGGCTCCTCCCAACCTGCTTGGGAGTAAAAATGCAGGGGGAAGAGGGGATGATGGAGGGGTGGCCAGCAAAAGACACTAAGTGGTCTTGCTCCTTTCCTCCCTCCCCCAAAAAAGCACATTGCACAGCATTTAAAGTTTTAATTTTTGCTAATTAATGTCAATTAATTTTGTATAATGAGTGTTTAATTTTGGGGAGTGTGTGAGCCCGGGAGCTAATGCAGTTCTCGGCTGTGAATGCTGATTAGCGTCAACACCTGCTGCTTACACTCCCTCTGCTGGGGGGTGGGATGAGGGTTTGGGGAGCCAGAGTGAGGACGAGGATGGCATGGTGGGGGAGGGCAGGAGGAAGGAGAATGGGGAGATACATATGCTCTGGGAGTCTGGAGCTAGTGGGGGTGTGTGGGAAGAGACTGGGTGGGGGGTGGGGGCGCTCTAGAGAGCTCACATCTGGGGGAGAAGGTGGACCCATGAGGCCAGGCTGGGCCAGGTGAGGAGGAGCTGTCATTAAGGACCCCTCGGTGAAACAGCCAGGCCCCACGGCTGTACTGAGCACTTGGCAGGGGCAGCAGGCAGGGTGGAGGAGAGAGATTGCTAGGGAGAGAAGGGGGAAGGGTACAAAGAAGCAGCTTGGATTCCACATGGGAGAAGAAAGCAAAGAGCCAAACTAATGTAGCCCTGACCTCCAGAAGACCCCAGTCCTATGGGGGAGACTCAAAAAAGATTTGCCCTTGATTCACTGTGTGTCATCACATTTCTCTCAGCTTGGCTGCCTCCTTGGGAAAATGGGCACAGGAATGTGTAAGAGAGAGGATGGCTGAGGCAACAGCATGGTCCAGTGGATAGAGTCCTGGATTTGGTATCAGAGATCCTGAATTGGAAACTGGGCACTGCCACCTAATAGCTGTGTGACACTGAGTACACGCCACCCCTCTGGGACTCAGCTTTCTTATCTGTCCAATGAGAGAGCAAGATTAGGTAATCTCTAACGTCCCTTCCAGCTCTGGTTCTGTGATCTGGTGATGCTCTTAGAGAGGGAAAGTTCCAGTCTCAACGTAAGGTTTAAAAAAAACATTCAACCCTCAGCATGATGGAGTAGAAACTGAGGTTCAGAGACGTGAAGGGATCTGGAGTCAGGAAGCCCTGGGTTCATGGCCCACTTCTAACATCACTGGGTGTGTAACCATGGGTTGGAAGCAGGGCTGTGCTGGGCCCCCTTCTAACATCACTAGGTGTGTAACCATGGGTGGCAAGCAGAGCTGTGCTGGGCCCCCTTCTAACATCACTAGGTGTGTGTGCTGGGCCCCTTTCTAACATCACTGGGTGTGTAACCATGGGTTGGAAGCAGGGCTGTGCTGGGCCCCCTTCTAACATCGCTAGGTGTGTAACTATGGGTTGTAAGCAGGGCTGTGCTGGGCCCCCTTCTAACATTGCTAGGTGTGTGTGCTGGGCCCCTTTCTAACATCACTAGGTGTGTAACCATGGGTGGCAAGCAGGGCTGTGCTGGAGCCAGCTCAGACTGGCTCATGAGAGAGCCGACTGTTAAATTTTCAGTGTGAGCATTTACACCTCAGAAATTGGCAAATGCTACAAAC